TGCTCATTTACCCCTTGATTGTAAATTGTTAGTTTAGTTTCATTCCCAATTTAGTCTGGGAGTTTATTAATGTTTATTTCACAAGACTATGTTCTAGTAACTAGACGTATGTGATGGTTCTAGCATGAGTAATCATTACCCAGCAGCTACATAAATTTATGTGTACCTTTGATCCTTCTGTAACTCCCCCCCTCCCCGCCGCCCCCCAATTTTGCTGGTGGTACTTTGTAATGGTGACAGTAGTTTTCCCTGTAGGGATAGAGGAGCTGGGAGAGCTGTTACAGGGTGCAGGGCCGGATTTTAAAGTGCCGGCTGGAGAGTTGAGCTGTTGTAGGCATAGGAGAAGCACTGAGCCTGCCTTCGCTTCCTGCTTTGCTGTTCTAGAGAAAATACCGTGGCTAATGCATTGGCCCCATTCTTACGGGATCGTTGAAGACCAGAAAGCCTTCTGGAGGACCTGCTCCAGTGCCTGCTCGTGCACTTTCCTGTGACAGTCACTCATCCTGGTCTACAGCCCTATCTGTGCAGAACTAATGTGATTTGCAAACACCCATCTTCTGCTTTAAGATTGTAGTAATTTTTATTCATTATTTAGAAAATACTGAACTAAGTTGCATCCCAAACTCACCTCTAAAAACATGTTTTGTTGTATTAGAGTTTAAAAAAAACAAAACAACAAAAAAAACCCTGCCTTTAGAAATCTACCAAATTGCCTTCAATTGGTGAACATAATTCAGTCTTTGTACTCTGGGTTAAAGCAAAATAATTTCTTGTTAATTAAATGACTCAGTTGAGCAATATGATCTTAAATCCTGCAATAGAGGGAGGTTGATGAGAAGGGATAAGAACACTTAAGGTATTTTAATAATATCTGCCATGAACATTAGGTTTTTAAACAAAGGCTGTCTTCATATGCTTCCCTTTCCTCTTGCAGCTCCCGGATGGCTCAGAGATACCACTTCCTCCCATTTTACTTGGCAAGCTGGGCTCCGACCCCAAGAAGAAGACAGTGTGCATCTACGGCCATCTGGACGTGCAGCCGGCAGCCCTGGAGGATGGCTGGGACAGTGAGCCCTTCACACTGGTGGAGCGAGACGGTAAGGACGCTCTCCTGGCAGAGCAGCGCTTCAAATCCTGCTGCTGCTTCACCGGCAGAATCGCCAGTACTCCCTTGGCCATCCTCCCAGAACAGGCTGTGTGAGCTAATATAGCAATGGGCTTCCAAAAGTTTACACGTGTGCACCAGACAGGAACACGAGAAAGCCTTCCCGTCCTGTGGAAACGGGGGTTTGTGGCCTTGGGTCAGTGAGGCTTCCCCAGTTCTGAACTGAGGCAGTGCAGCCCTCACATGCTGAGTCTCCACTTGACAACCCTCTGGAGCCTTGGTGCCACTGGGACCCCTTCCTCCTTGAGTTGTCTTCCTCATCACTCCTCCCCCACCTGCACCGCCAGCTTAGAACACAGCCCCTCCTGATTGCTCGGAAGGGAGGGGGCTCCCTCAGCAGACTCAGCGTTGAGGACGCTGGAAGAAGCTGGGAGTGCATGCCTCTTTGTCTTGTACACCTCAGTGCAGTGTGGTCTGCACCGTCCCCCACCCCCTGTCACCTTGTCAGCATTCCTCCCAGAACAGTGATGCTTTTAGGAGAGATCTTTAGCTTTTGTGAAAAGTTGGGTTCAATTTAAAAGTAAATTCCCAGGGTATGATGCCTTTAAGCCTTGTACTACTTTTGGGTGGGTCGTGTTAAAACGGCCAAACATTTGGAAACAGTCTTAGGAATGAGGAAGTCATAGAGCTGACCAAGACAGAGGGAAGCTGCGATCTGTGCTTTTCCCTGGTTGCCCGCAGGGCTCTTGTCACATGACTGCAGGCCCGGGGGAGGTGTTGTTTCCCCTGGAGGGGCCCCTGGAGCGGGAGTACAGAGGGAAGGGACTGACTCCTTACACTGAGGGGAACAGTATTATGCTGTTAGATTTCAGTGATACCCTGGAGAAAAATGGGAGGAACGTAAGTCCCATTCTTTATCAGATTAGATGTGAAATTGAGGTGGGGTCAGATTTGTCGTTCTCTTGATAAGGGTGTATGGTGCTTTCCCCGCCCTGCCCAGGTTTTCTACCCTTATTGATACCAGCTGGTTATGGATTTTAATCACTGGCCCACTGATAGTAAGCTCCTGGACCTGGGTCTGAAGTTTGTGCCCTGAGTCAGCAGGACTGTGAGCACTGGCTAACTGCCACGTCTGCGGGGATGGGAGAAGGACTTGGAGGCATTCACGTGAAGGCAAATTCTCCCATCATTTTAGCAATAGTGCCGGCTAGAGACTTGGGGCTCCTGATAACAGGAAAATGGGCTTCCAGTGTCAAGAGACGTTCTCAGGGCAGATGCATGTGGTTTTGCAAAGTTGTTACCAGATGTTCACCTGGTAACGATGTTATAAGGGTTCACTCTCCATCTGTCTCCTTGTCATTGTAATGCTGTGAATTTGCTGATTGCTGCTTCAGGCAAGCTGTACGGGAGAGGTTCGACTGATGACAAGGGGCCAGTGGCCGGCTGGATGAATGCCCTGGAAGCCTTTCAGAAAACAAATCAAGTATGTCACCCTCCTTGAACCTGGTTCACCCCATTCCATCTGAGTGTAACAAGGCCGGGCTTCTCAAGATCAAAGATCAATAGGATGTGAGACAGCAGGCTCCCCCTAAAGTGTCAGTCCGATGACTCAGGCTTTAGATGAGAGTTTTGTTCCAGCTTCAGGAAACACTGCAGGAGTAATTGTTTTACAGTGTTCAAGGGTCGCACTATTGATAACTAGGCAGGAATCCAGGCCACACACAAATGACCCTCCCACCTGAGCTGTGATAAACGGACAAACCCCTTACTTTCTCTGCATGGTTACAGCCTCCTGAAAATACATTTTATTTTTAGAAATACATTTCCTTAACTAGGAACTCTCCACTCCTTGTTGAAAATTTGTAAACTTTAGAGGAGCAGAGAGAAAAAGTTGCCTAGAATCTCAACCCTAGGAGACTTAATGTTTTGGTACTTACCAATCTTTTCACCTGCTTTTAACCTAATTGTGATCAAGTGTACAGATGGCTTTTGCGTTTTGCCTTTCTCTTGTATCATGATAAAATTAGAATTGTAAGACAAGCATGTTTGTTAGAGCATGAAAAGGTAGATCTGAATAGAGTCCAGAGGTCCATTTTGCACAGGAGAAAACCGCGGCCCAGAACCACTGGATGGCAGTGCTCCCATGGCCGCCACATGCTGGGCGCAGGGACTGAGGCAACTGAGAGAAGGCATAGATGTTCAGGGCAGAGCTGCCCAGAGCAGCTCCATCTACCTGATCCATATATCAAGGTCCTCAGAAGGAATCCATCTGAGGGGCAGGGGAAGGGAGGTGTGCCTGAGCAGTGCCATCCGGGGACAGTTCTGAAACGGACTCTGCAAACTTCAGTCCCAGTGAGGCCCTGCCATGCCACAAGCCTCATTTTCTCATGTGTGGAAGGCCACCTGCCTCACTGCACAGTGCTGGGGAGACCTGGTAAACTGCAGAGAGGAGCCAGATGGACAGACAGCAGCACCCACTCTTTAAGAAAAGGTACTTTAGTGCGAGCAGGAGGTCATAGTGCAGGAGTACCTTCTAAATTAAGAAGAGGCTTTCCCTCCCTTGAGGGCACTGTTGGTGGCCACAAGGGTGCAAATGAAGACTTCTGTGATTTATTTGTGTACAGCCTTCAGAGAACAGCTTAGGCCTTAATGCAGACTCCTGACCTGCCCTGAGTGAGCACATAGATCCCTGTGACTCAGAGTGTGGTTACCTGAGGACTTGCTGGCAAGGAGCTTTCAGTGAGGATGTAGCTGTGGCTGGAGCCAGGCTTGTCCCCTGACACAGCCCAGCACCTGGGGACTGAGGGTCACTGGGAACTGCAAACCTCCTGTCAGAATGCTTGGTCTGGAGGAAGTTGGGTATTTGAAATTGGTGATTTCACATTTGGTGACTTCCTGTCTATTGTCTCTAAGCACTAAACGTATGTGAAAGCTGAATGCCTGTGACACTCTTTTCCTATCACAGGAAATCCCTGTTAACATCCGATTCTGTCTGGAGGGTATGGAGGAGTCGGGCTCTGAGGGCCTGGATGAGCTGATTTTTGCCCAAAAGGACACCTTCTTTAAAGACGTGGACTATGTCTGCATTTCTGACAACTACTGGCTGGGGAAGAAAAAGCCCTGCATCACCTATGGCCTCAGGGGCATCTGCTACTTTTTCATCGAGGTATCGGTCACATTTCCCATGTCTCATGGTGATTCCCCTGTCGTGCTCCCTGCCCAATGCCATCAGAATCAGCAGCATCCACCTTCACGCTAGGGTGTATTCTTTGCAGGATTGTCTTGGGCAGTTGAGAAAAGATGAAGTGCTAGTCCATGTAGGAAGACTGAGACATATGCAGAGCATTTTAGGAAGACTTCCTTTCAAAAGTGACAGTGTTCATATTTTAGCTCTTATCTCTTGACTGAGAGATCTTAAGGGAACTGGGATATTTACCCTCAACACAGAAGCCCAAGAGGATGGACCTACCACTCACTGTTGGGCCGAGCCTCGGTCTTCCCCTCTACACAGAAAGGTGGGGGCTCCTACCTCACGGGTGACTGATGATTAGTTCCTGCGTGTGAGGGTGGTCTATAGACTCAAAAGTTCTGGGAATGATCATAGAGCCCTCACCCTGTGCAAGGCACCTTCTACCTGCTGTACGAATAACCAACGGGGACACAGTAGCTTGGAGGTGAGCGGTCTTACTCTGCTACAGGTGAGGAGGCAGAGGCCCAGGGCTGTTACTGTTTTATCCTGGTTACATAGCGTGGCAGCGGTGGGGCAGACACTGACCCCAGGTCCTTGGGCTTCAGGTCTCTGCTGGCTCTTTTTTTCTGGTGGTTGTTACCCTTTCATAGCTCTTGCAGAGTATCCCTGAAACCACTGCAAAATGCTCTCAGAGCTTGGGGAGTTGCCCTGCTCAGTACTCCTAGCTCACCTGCGCTTAGTACAGGTTCACCTATGCTCAGTACTCTTAGCTCACCTATGTTCGTACTCCTAGTACACCTGTGCTCAGTATTCCTAGTTCACCTGTGCTCAGCACTCCTAGTTCACCTGTGCTCAGCACTCCTTGCTCACCTGTGCTCAGCACTCCTAGCTCACCTATGTTCAATACTCCTAGCTCACCTGTGCTCAGTACTGCTAGCTCAGCTGTGCTCAGTACTGCTAGCTCACTTGTGCTCACTAATCCTAGTTCCTCTGAGCTCACTACTCCTAGTTCATCTGAGCTCAGTATTCCTAGTTCACTTGGGATCAGTATTCCTAATTCACCTATGGTTATATTCCTGGTTTACCTATGGTTGGCATTTCCAAGGATATTTTCTGTTGTTTCAAGTTTTATAATTTAGGAAATGCCTTGCTTTGCTCATTAACGGAGCAAATTTTGATTTTAAAAATTGCCTGTCAGGTCTTATGAATGTTCTTGGTTCAATTTACTGTCACATGATAAAAATAAGCTCTGCTAAGCAGCCCAATAGAGTGTCTTTGTTCCTTCCAGGTGGAATGCAGTGACAAAGACCTGCACTCTGGGGTGTATGGGGGCTCAGTGCACGAGGCCATGACGGATCTCATTACGCTGATGGGTAAGCCGGGTTTCAATCATGACTTGGTGATTTGGGAGACCAGCTGGTGGGCTATTTCCAGGCTGTCATCAGCATTTGGTGCATTCCAGTGTTCTTCATGAACCACTTCCCTGTTACCCTGCAGCTCCCTTGCTCTGCTCACTGTTCCCTTTTAAAAGATTGGTCTGGATGCCTGGTTTCTGCCTTCCTCTTCCTCACACCCTTACCTCCCTGTGTAACTAAACTCTCTCTTGCCTCCGGGACCCAGCTGGTCACCCCTGGCTCCTTCAGCTCTGTCTGGCCTTGTCCAGCCTGTCCCCTAGATTCCCACAACTGTCTTTCCTCTGGACACGTACTAGGTGTATCGGTTAATAATGCAGATTTTTTTCAATAAATGGAGTTGCACATATATTGATATATTTGCAATGTGATTTGATATATATGCTATTTTGTTGTATTGACACAAGCTTCAAAACTTCATATTTCAAATTCTCTGAAGGTGTTAATATCATAGATATTTTTACACTTAAAAATGTTGAATTTCATGCAAAAAAATCGGCATTTGTGGGAAGTTTTAATTTACTTTATTTTGAAGAAAAATGCTGTTGAATACTTTGGGAAGCTTATGGGAAACATGCTCCATTTCAAGATACTTGTGAATGCTGGTTTAAATGCTTTAAAAGTGATGCTTTCAATGTGAAAAACAAAAATGTCCAGATTTGAAGACCAACAGTTACAAGCATCATTAGATGAAGATGTGTGTCAAACTAAAAAACAACTTCCAGAAAGATTAAATGTTGCTCAGCAAACAATTTTTGATTGTTTACAAACAATGGGAAAGATTTTAAAGGAAGCAAAGTGGGTGCCACGTCAAGTGAATGAAAGACAAATGGAAAACCGAGAAGTCATCAGTAATGTTGCTTCAACAGCATGAAAGTCTTTTTTGCATTGAATTGTGACTGGTGATAAAAGTGGATTTATTTTGAGAGTCCCAAATGCAATCATGGATTGATTCAGGTCAGCTATCAACATTGACTGCAAGGCCAAATCGCTTCGGAAAGAAGACAGTGCTCTGTGTTTGGTGGGATCAGGAAGGTGTGGTGTACTATGAGCTTCTAAAACCAGGTGAAACTGTTAATGCTGATCGCTAAGGACAACAGATAATCAATTTGAACCATGCTTTGATAGTGAAATGACCAGAATGTTCCAGAAGACACAGCAAAGTAATTTTGCCTCATGATGATGTACCATCACACACTTCAAAACCAGTTAAAGACTCGTTAAAAGATCTTGCCTGGGAAGTATTTACCCACCCGCTGTATTCACCAGACCTTACTCCTTCAGATTTCTACTTGTTCTGATCAATGGCACACGCACTTTCTGAGCAGCACTTCAAAACATACAAAGAAGTGGAAAATTTGGTCTCTGAATGGTTTGCCTCAAAACAAGAAAATTTCTATTGGCACAGTATCCACAAATAACCTGAAAGATGTAGCTAGCGATGGGCATTACTTTGAATACAACACCTTTGATGTTTCTCTTAAAATTATTGTGTTTGCTTTGATTACAAAATTCACTGTTATTAACCGGTACACCTAGTATGTCACTTCTCTCAGATAGCATCTGCTCCAGCCCGTTTGACTTTGTAACTGGCCTCAGCGAGGGCTCTTGCATGGTCGGCTCCTTGAGAGTGATACCCCAACTCACTCTCCCTGGCATCCTGTTGCCTCACCATAAGGTTTGTTGTGCTGTTTCCTTCCCGGATGGATGGTGGCTGCCATCTGTGGAGTCTGTTGCTCCTGGGACTGGAGTCTACTCTGTCCCTCTCTCTAGTTCCCTCTCAGCTTGGGAGTAGCTATTTTCTTGTGGAAAGTGCGTTGAAAAGGCAATATTGGAGAGTGTCATGGTTTTTAGAGGAGGCCTGGGACCACTCTGCTCAGGATGTCCTGGTCTGTGACCGTGGCCAGTTCTCCTGTCCCTTCGTATCTAAGTGTCTTTGTCTTAAATTGGAAGATGGTACTGCTTGCTTCACTGGGTTATTATAGTAGTTAACTGACGTATGAGCACAGATACCCAGGCGCTCACATGTGCCCAGGAAAGGTGACCACAGGGCTCTTGTGCCAGGACTCCCTGCACCCTATGCACTGGCACCCACGGTTCCCTTTCTCCTCCAGGCTGCTTGGTGGACAGGAAGGGGAAGATCCTCATCCCTGGCATCAGCGAGGCTGTGGCACCCGTGACGGAGGAGGAGCTGAAGCTCTATGACCAGATTGACTTTGACCTGGAGGAGTACGCCAAGGACGTGGGAGCACAGACCCTGCTGCACAGCAGCAAGGTGCTGCCTTGGCCACACCAAGACCTGTCCATCCCCAAGCCTCCCAACTGCAGGGGCCCCTTGGGAAGGAGCAGAGTGGCTGGCAGAGAACTGGGCATTTCTGTAGGCACCTGGGTCATTGGAAGGTGCAGACCACTCCGGGCTGGGTGCTGAGAGGTTGTTAGAAATGTCAAATACTGACTAGTGACCACATGGGCCCTGAAATACATGCAGAGAAAACCTAGAGGCAGGTAACTCTCACCTGTTTGCATGTGTAGGATGATCTCTAGGACAGGCCAGAGACGGTGTAAGGCCTACCTGGCAGAGCCCACTCAGTTCCTGGTTTATGAGGTCTATGTAAGCTCACATTCAGGTCAGCCAGCATTAACTGAACTGCGGAGTCTGCATCTCCTTTCTGTGCTCAGGAAAGCTGTGACTAAGTGGAACCTCCCAGAAGACATTCTTGTCTCTGAAAGCTGTCCCCTGAACTTCTCTGTCATTTTTGCAGAAAGACATCCTGATGCACAGATGGCGGTACCCGTCCCTCTCCCTCCACGGGATCGAAGGTGCCTTCTCCGGCTCAGGGGCCAAGACTGTGATTCCTAGGAAAGTGGTTGGCAAGTTCTCCATCAGGCTCGTGCCCAATATGACTCCTGAGGTTGTCAGCGAGCAGGTACATGGGGCAGTGGGACTCAGGGAGAGGGGGCCGTGCACCGGCAAAGATCGGGGACCAAAAGGTTTTCCTCTGAACGACTGAAAAATACAAACCCAAACCCATATGTCCCCACCTCTTGGCTATGGTCAACTCAGTAATTACTAAGATAAGCAGTTCAGAACCTGATCGAAGATAAAGGCCACATAAAAAAGCATTACGTGTAAGTGACCTTTGTCAGTGCTGAGGCATGCCCAAACCTGATCTCTGACTTCAGGTCAGATGCTGACTTTGGGTCCAATATGTCATGGTGAGGGTCCAAGGGGCACAGCACCCTCTGGGCTGTGGTGAGGAGCGGAGGGGAACACTCCTGTCGGAAGATTTCACAGGGGCAAGTTCTGATTGCTGCAGGCCCGACAGGCCCCAGGAGCAGTCAACCTGATGGGAAGGTTTGGAAGATAGAAGCTTCCCTATGGGGAGAGGACACTGATGACTGGCATTTTGTCATAAAGAGGTCTCCCTGGGCCGGCAAATGGCTCTAGTTTTAGTCTGGATGTGATCTTTTTATAAAGCAAGTCAAAGAACAATTTTGAAAACTTGGTTTACATATTATCATTATATGGGGACATCTACATAAAGGATGAATTGCTTGACATAAAACATTTTACCTGCAAATAACTGGCTTTTGATTCTTGATAAAATCACCTTTTCTATTATCACAGTTATGCACATCAGCATTTAGCAGCAGAAAATTCACTGTAGACTCACTCTAGACCCATTGTAGACCTGTTATAATCTCACTGTAGACTCCTGGTGGACTTACCGTAGGCTAATTGTAAACCACTGCAGACTCACTCTAGACCCATTGTAGACCTGTGTTGACTCACTGTAGATCTGCTGTGCGTCAGGTGCAGAGCTTTATAATACTTTGTGTCTCTTCTGTTTGTGGTTCAGGTTACAAAGTATTTGACAAAGAAGTTTGCTGAACTGCAGAGCCCCAACAAATTCAAGGTGTACATGGGCCATGGTGGGAAGCCCTGGGTGTCTGACTTCAACCACCCTCATTACATGGCTGGGAGAAGAGCCCTGAAAACAGGTCAGACATTCTCCTGGGAATGATGCCAGGACCCCCAGCGTGTCTGCTAGAGCTCTGCTGTATCACATGACACATAGCTATATAGTCATGCTCTGAGGAGCATCGACTTGCAGGCTGGGCCGCACCGCCAGCCCAGCCATTCTGGAGAGGGGCTGCTGTCCCAGGGTCCAACCTTGGTGCTGCGGGTAGTAGGTGTGCAGGGAAGCCTAAGCTCCCAAGCTAACTATTTCTTTTGTTTCATTCCCTCCAGTTTTTGGTGTTGAGCCAGACTTAACCAGGGAAGGTGGCAGTATTCCTGTGACTTTGACTTTTCAGGAGGCCACAGGCAAGAATGTCATGCTGTTGCCCGTGGGGTCCGCTGATGATGGTGCCCACTCCCAGAATGAAAAGCTCAACAGGTGAGGCTCTGGATCCTCAGTCCTGAATCTGGGTTAGTTTTCTTGTGGATACCAGTGAGAAATCCTGTGAAAGCCAGGGCGTCCCCTGCGTCCCTTCCTCCTCCACACCTGCCCCTTTCCTGCTGCTAAGAGGTGATTTCTGGGGTCCCCGCCTCCTGTGCTCTCTACCATCTGTCCCTGGTGAGGGAACACAGGTGGGAGGTAGGAATGGAAGCCTGTGGGAGGTGGCAGTTCTTTAGAACAAGGCTTACCCAGTGGTCTGTTGATCGCTGTGCTTCCCCGGCGACTCCTGAAGGACCCCCGCATCTTCCTGTTTGGAAG